ACTGAGATGCAAATTGCAATACGCTAAACATATATAAACCTGCTTGTTCAGTATTTATAAGGTGACGAAGTATCTATAATACTCCATCACTAATGTAAGTAATCCCACTATAAAACAGCAAAGCATTAAATAATCATTAGTTTATCATACTTTACGATTTACAATTACCATTAATCATTTAAAACAATAAACCCGTTCTTTCAATAATATTGTACATTTATTGAGATTTCCAATGCCATCCAAATAATAAAATTTAAATTTAATCAAATTCAGGTCGACATCCAATTGTTCAACCAGCGATAGTGTAGCAATTTAAAGCCAATTTTTCTTAATTTTGGTAAAACTCCAAGGTTTGGATGGTATGATTTGGCAAAAAGAGTGCAATAAATTAGCTCGAGCCGTCAGCAGTTCTATAAAACCCCGCTTGTATGTCCGTCCGTGGCATTATGTGGGTGTGGGTTACTGTGCAAGCAATTTGTTAAATGTTTACTTTTCACAGGTTAGTATTACAACTATTACAAACTTGTGCTTTTGTAGTCTTGTTCTCAATAATTTACTCGTCAAAGACAAAACTATATTTAGTAAATGGTATTGTATTTATTTTTATTATGTTTAGGCTAAATCAAATGCTTGGTCAACTGTTTATGGAACAGATATTTGTAGTAATGTTTTATAGTTTTAACAGGAGCCATGAATTAAAAATATATCAGTAGCCCTAATAGCTGATTAACACTTTGGCGTGATACACTAGTTACATTGATGGCATTTATTATGGAACAAACTTGTGATAGATGATTCAATTGAAATTTTGTTTGAGATGAACGAGTAAGAAATCCTAAATGGTAAGTTCTATACTTATACTTATAGGAAAAGGTCGTGACTAATACAATGTCAGTTGATATTTCAATACCTGTTGTTCGATTTTCAACTAACCCAATATCTATACATGTTTAACAAAGCTACAACTGAAAAACGTAAATAGATCTGTAGTGAATTAATCTGCAGATTTGGAACAAAAGCTGAATGATGTTGTTTAATTGTTTATTCTCGTAAGGGCATTTCGATTACGGGTAAATGATTTAGTTGAAATTGTCAACAAATAAGAATATCGGACGTAAGATAGCACAGAGGGGTTACCTAGGGTACAGTATTCCCAGTAGGATGGTGTCTTTTGACTTTCATTTTTTTTAACCTTTGATGGTCACTATCTGTTGAGTGTAGAATCATTGACTATACACGTCAATGGTAGAATGTAGATACACTACATTCATATAGTCGTTAGTCCAACACTTGTTTGCTAGAGAGAGCTGTGCTTTATCAGATAAAGTTGTAATCAATCAGTTGTCAGAGGTCAAAGAGAGTTAGAGGCAATCAATGGCGATCTACCTTTGACTAGTTTGATAAATGACACCTGAATGACGCGTAGACCTTGCGAAATAACGTAGTTAGCTCACTATCCTACATTAAAACACTGAATTTGACAAAGTCAATGGTCAGATTTCATATCTGACACTCATATGATGTTAAAATTTTAGTAAAACAGGCCACTTTATTACAATCATACTTTTATTATAAATGTGAAAGTTTTTATGTTTGTTAGGGGTTCAATCGCGCATTTACTACTGGACGGATTGGGCTGAAATTTTGCATGACGATAGCTCACATTCCCAATTGACATAATATGCCTATCCTTATCTCAAAAATCATTTCGGGCTCCGCCCCAGTGGCTCTGTAGTTCCCCATGTTGACCTGAGTATCCTATACGTTAATAGGTATTTTTTTTTTTTAACTTTTTTCTCAGCTCGTGTGCATCGCAGGTAAAATCTACGCATCCTGTTGGAAAGATATTTTCCTGTAGATGTGCAGAATCCCGTTATAAATTAAAATAGGCTAAAATATAAGCACAAAAAATTAATTTTAAATAAAAAAGATTACTTGAGCCTTATTGGTTGCCATCATATGCTGGTGATGAAATTACAACGATATATAAAGAAAATCAAAACAAATTGAACAAATTCCAATCACATGTTTTATTTAAAGCGTGGGGTAAAAATAAAGCAGTTTTGTTAGATTACATTATTTTGGTCGAGTTTTCGACCACTGGACGACCTCTAGTTTGAACAGAATTTTAGAATTTTGTCAGATGTTTCAACTAAACAAGTTGGTTCTATGTTATACAGGGTGGAACGAAGTTAATGTTAAAAAAATTGTATATGTTAAACTACTTAGTAGGGCCTATTGATGACAAAATGGCACTTAGATTTCCATACCCTCACAGACAGGAATAGCAGAAAAGTTAATATTTTTTTTTTAATATTTGTATTTTCTGACATAAAATGGCCTTAAGTGCACTAAACATTTTTAAACTGTCCGAATTTTTCTTTATGCATGTATAAAATAGCTGTTCTGAATTATATTTTTAGTTTTAATCGATTACTTGATTCCCGTACGTAGGACTAGCCAACAGCTAGGACTAATAAATGTAATTTGAATGAATGATACGCAAATTAATGAGCTGGTGTCACATTTCTGCCATGTTATGTTATCTTATCGGACGTCTGGTGCTAGACAACACTACTTGCATTGACTATACACAGAATAGTTGTCCAATTCTACCAGGCCGTGGCTTTTGAAGTGGCAAAATCAACATCGCAAGATAGTCAGCTGTTTTGTTGTGGATGCAGCTAATGGTATTTGTATATTTTTAAAAAATACGAAAGCTGGTTAGCTGGGCTATTGGAATATTTACTCCACTTTACATTTTAAAAAATGTTTTTTTTTTTCAATTTAAATATTGTTTTGGTTTCCAATTCCATATGTTTTAATTTCAATCTTTTAATACATTTATGTTGATAAATTTAAATTAATAATACGCGAATAAATTATGGTGTTACCCGTCTGCCTTGTTATCTTATGGGACATTCTGGCACTAGACACAACTACTTTCTTGCAATGTTGCCAATTCTACCAGGCCGCGGCCTGGAGTTAAATGTGGCCGTGGTGTTAACTGTCATTTGTACTAGCATAGATTAACACATTAACTACAATACGTCTCACACAGAGGAGTGTGACGGATGGTAGTCAACGTGTTTTAAACACTGAGCTATAATAATAACTGGAGTAACCACTCTGTGTTTAAAAAACGTAAGCTTGCCACTGCTGTTGTGTTGCTGGTTTTGTTTCAGAGTTTCGTGTTGTTAGGTTGGGATCACACGGCCAACCTAACAACACGAAACACAAAAAACAAACAAGCAAAAACAGTGGCACGTGGGTGAGTGGCACGTTTTTCTATAATGTTCAACCAGAGAGTAGTGACTGCAGTTATCTATACAGGGTGGTAAAAAAGTCCCTGGACAGTTAAATATTTTAAAAAATAATGCAGATAGAGCTACAATACTTGGTACAAAGTTACAGGGCATAAAACTCTATTTTAACACATATTCAGTGATCCAATAACTCTTCAGGGGGACGGCCCACAAGGAGTCGGAAGAAAATCTTAAATAGAAGCATAGGTCAATATGCACATCAAATTAAAGGTTTTTTTTTTTGTAGAATACAATGCCGCAAACCGCACTTCAAAAGGTTGATCCTGCGCAAAATAACAGTTGTTCAAAGATTCATTTAATTTACATTGCTATTATACGCTTTCTCCTCAGGGGGCATAGCCCTAGAAATTGGAAGAAAATTGTTAACGTAAGAATAGGTCGATATGCACATCAAATTAAAGGTCTTCACTTTTAGATTACGATGCCGTAAATTCAAGCTCAAAAGAATGCCTGAGTAAAAAATGGCAGCCGTTCAAAGATTCAAAATGGCGGATTCAAGAAATCTTTGAACATCTGTCATTTTGCGCGGGATCAACCTTTTGAAGTGCGGTTTGCGGCATTGTATTCTACTAAAAAAGATCTTTAATTTGATGTGCATATTGACCTATGCTTCCATTTAAGATTTTCTTCCGACTCCTTGTGGGCCGCCCCCCTGAAGAGTTATTGGATCACTGAATATGTGTTAAAATAGAGTTTTATGCCCTGTAACTTTGTACCAAGTATTGTAGCTCTATCTGCACTATTTTTTTTAATATTTAACTGTCCAGGGACTTTTTTACCACCCTGTATATATAAAAGGCAAAGCCCTCACTGACTCACTGACTGACTCACTCACTCATCACTAATTCTCCCACTTCCCATTTACCTAGGAGGCTGAAATTTGGTACACTGATTCTTTAGGCATTAAATAGGAAAACTAAGTAGTTTTTATTCTGATCAGACTCTCGGGCTCCGCCCCAGTGGCTCTGGAGTTTCCCATGTTAACCTTATGATTTTTCATATTTAAAAATAATTAATGAATCTTAACAGCTGTGTCAAGTTGGTTCTATTCTATGATGTTCAATAGCATTAAAGTTACAAGGATTACCAACAGGGTGCAGCACTATTATTTTTTAAATTTATAACAACAGCTAATTTGCAACCAAAAGGTGAGTGAGCGTAGCGAACGAACTTCAACCTGGAGGCGAGTTAGCGTAGCGAACGAGCGAACCTGAAGGCAAGTGAGCGCAGCGAACGAGCTCCAACTTAAAGGTGAGTGAGCGTAGCGAACGAACTTCAACCAGGACGTGATTGAGCCATGCGAACGAGCTCATCTTGAAAATTAAGAAGTTAAACGGGGCAAAGCCCGCGGGTACAGCTAGTAATCTTATAATTCAAAGAAATTAAAGCTTTAATCTATAGTACTTTGGAAATAAACAGTACTGTACATTGTAAGAACAATTGATTTGTGGGATTGTAATAAAATAAGGTCATGAGCCAATAAGCTTGTTATTAGGCTGGGTATTTTTAGTGTATACATGAGTGCTATATTCACTGCTTGATTTTAAGATTTTTGTGTTGGAATCCTGTTATATACGGGGATCAGCAGATTTGGAATTATTTATTTTTCTTCTTCTGTAAAATCAAAATCAGCTGAGAATAAGTGAGAGTGAGACTGAGAGAGAATAGCAGCCACTTGTTTGTCGGATTCGGATTTGATTGATTTACTATTTCACAGGGATGATCTAGGCTGATTACCTCCTGTTCTCCATTCCAATCTGTTAGGTTATAGTTTCGTTGTATCATTATCTTTGAAGTTACTTGAAAAATAGGGTTGCTGATTTCTATTTTCAGGATGGCTCCTGTAGACAAATCTCCCCCTGCTAAAGCAGAGAGCAATTTTTACCTAGTCTGCTCATCTAAAGCAAATGATTTAATTCCAGTTCATAAATACAAATCGTCCCTTACCGGGTTAACAATTGTGTTGGCCGAAGTTGAAGGGCCGGTTGTCAATGGTTATTTCTGTTTAGGTAAGTTCAAATTTACAAACTCATCTTAATTTTAATATTGTGTAGCCTATTGTAATTGGCTATTCTGAAGAAAATTAGGCTAGGCCTATTTCATTCTTTACTCTTGGCTAATGAAAGATTAGGCTAGAACCTGTAACTAACTTTGACCTAGGCTTGGCATCTGAGAGATGAAGGCCTTTGAAGTACTCAGTGGTGCTTGCACAATGAAGCTGGGGTGGCAGAATAAGTTACTCGCTTCTTTCAAAACAATCGTTCCATAATTAGTGAAGCATGCTAGGCATCATTTAGAGTAAAAGATCAATATAAGTTACCCAATCGAACGAAGCACAAGAGAAGCAAACAAATGTGTTGCAGGAACAACCCCCTTTTTACTTTATTGAGGAACAAAATACATTGGTGTGAACCTGGCAATAACTCCAGCCATAAGTAGTGCGCGCGCCCGAAAAAATCTATTGCTGGCCGCTTTGCGGCAAAATACGTCCGCGATGCATATTACCGATTATGCCAACAGATAGAGGACACTTTAACGGACACGACAGTATCAACATTATGTACCTGGGGAGTAGGTTAAGGGGGGTAAAATGAGCAATAAGTAGTGCGCGCACCACCAAAAATCTATTGCTGGCCGTATTACGGCAAAATACGTCCGCGATGCATATTACCGATTATGCCAACAGATAGAGGACACTTTAACGGACACGACAGTATCAATATTATGTACCTGGGGAGTAGTATAAGGGGGGTAAAATCGGCAAAAAGTAGTGCGCGCGCTACAAAAAATCTATTGCTGGCCGTATTACGGCAAAATACGTCCGCGATGCATATTACCGATTATGCCAACAGATAGAGGACACATTAACGGACACGACAGTATCAACATTATGTACCTGGGGAGTAGTATAAGGGGGGTAAAATCGGCAAAAAGTAGTGCGCGCACCACCAAAAATCTATTGCTGGCCGTTTTACGGCAAAATAAGTCCGCGATGCATATTACCGATGATGCCAACAGATAGAGGACACTTTAACGGACACGACAGTATCAACATTATGTACCTGGGGAGTAGTATAAGGGGGTTAAAATCAGCAATAAGTAATGCGCGCGCTACAAAAAATCTATTGCTGGCCGCTTTGCGGCAAAATACGTCCACGATGCATATTACCGATTATGCCAACAGATAGAGGACACTTTAACGGACACGACAGTATCAACATTATGTACCTGGGGAGTAGTATAAGGGGGGTAAAATGAGCAATAAGTAGTGCGCGCACCACCAAAAATCTATTGCTGGCCGTATTGCGGCAAAATACGTCCGCGATGCATATTACCGATGATGCCAACAGATAGAGGACACTTTAACGGACACGACAGTATCAATATTATGTACCTGGGGAGTAGTATAAGGGGGGTAAAATCGGCAAAAAGTAGTGCGCGCGCTACAAAAAATCTATTGCTGGCCGTATTACGGCAAAATACGTCCGCGATGCATATTACCGATTATGCCAACAGATAGAGGACACATTAACGGACACGACAGTATCAACATTATGTACCTGGGGAGTAGTATAAGGGGGGTAAAATCGGCAAAAAGTAGTGCGCGCACCACCAAAAATCTATTGCTGGCCGTTTTACGGCAAAATAAGTCCGCGATGCATATTACCGATGATGCCAACAGATAGAGGACACTTTAACGGACACGACAGTATCAACATTATGTACCTGGGGAGTAGTATAAGGGGGTTAAAATCAGCAATAAGTAATGCGCGCGCTACAAAAAATCTATTGCTGGCCGCTTTGCGGCAAAATACGTCCACGATGCATATTACCGATTATGCCAACAGATAGAGGACACTTTAACGGACACGACAGTATCAACATTATGTACCTGGGGAGTAGTATAAGGGGGGTAAAATGAGCAATAAGTAGTGCGCGCACCACCAAAAATCTATTGCTGGCCGTATTGCGGCAAAATACGTCCGCGATGCATATTACCGATGATGCCAACAGATAGAGGACACTTTAACGGACACGACAGTATCAACATTATGTACCTGGGGAGTAGTATAAGGGGGGTAAAATCGGCAAAAAGTGCGCGCGCTACAAAAAATCTATTGCTGGCCGTATTGCGGCAAAATACGTCCGCGATGCATATTACCAATGATGCCAACAGATAGAGGACGCTTTAACGGACACGACAGTATCAACATTATGTACCTGGGGAGTAGTATAAGGGGGGTAAAATCGGCAAAAAGTAGTGCGCGCACTACAAAAAATCTATTGCTGGCCGTATTGCGGCAAAATACGTCCGCGATGCATATTACCGATTATGCCAACAGATAGAGGACACTCTAACGGACACGACAGTATCAACATTATGTACCTGGGGAGTAGTATTTTTAATTAATATTTTTTAATATTACCGATTATGCCAACAGATAGAGGACACTCTAACGGACACGACAGTATCAACATTATGTACCTGGGGAGTAGGATAAGGGGGGTAAAATCGGCAAAAAGTAGTGCGCGCGCTACAAAAAATCTATTGCTGGCCGTATTGCGGCAAAATACGTCCGCGATGCATATTACCGATGATGCCAACAGATAGAGGACACTTTAACGGACACGACAGTATTAATATTATGTACCTGGGGAGTAGTATAAGGGGAGTAAAATCGGCAAAAAGTAGTGCGCGCGCTACAGAAAATCTATTGCTGGCCGTATTGCGGCAAAATACGTCCGCGTTGCATATTACCGATTATGCCAACAGATAGAGGACACTCTAACGGTCACGACAGTATCAACATTATGTAGGTCTACCTGGGGAGTAGTATAAGGGGGGTAAAATGAGCTTAAAAAATATTAATTAAAAATACTACTCCCCAGGTACATAATGTTGATACTGTCGTGTCCGTTAGAGTGTCCTCTATCTGTTGGCATAATCGGTAATATGCATCGCGGACGTATTTTGCCGCAATACGGCCAGCAATAGATTTTTTGTAGTGCGCGCACTACTTTTTGCCGATTTTACCCCCCTTATACTACTCCCCAGGTACATAATGTTGATACTGTCGTGTCCGTTAAAGTGTCCTCTATCTGTTGGCATCATCGGTAATATGCATCGCGGACGTAATTTGCCGCAATACGGCCAGCAATAGATTTTTGGTGGTGCGCGCACTACTTATTGCTCATTTTACCCCCCTTATACTACTCCCCAGGTACATAATGTTGATACTGTCGTGTCCGTTAGAGTGTCCTCTATCTGTTGGCATAATCGGTAATATGCATCGCGGACGTATTTTGCCGCAATACGGCCAGCAATAGATTTTTTGTAGCGCGCGCACTACTTTTTGCCGATTTTACCCCCCTTATACTACTCCCCAGGTACATAATGTTGATACTGTCGTGTCCGTTAAAGTGTCCTCTATCTGTTGGCATCATCGGTAATATGCATCGCGGACGTATTTTGCCGCAATACGGCCAGCAATAGATTTTTGGTGGTGCGCGCACTACTTATTGCTCATTTTACCCCCCTTATACTACTCCCCAGGTACATAATGTTGATACTGTCGTGTCCGTTAGAGTGTCCTCTATCTGTTGGCATAATCGGTAATATGCATCGCGGACGTATTTTGCCGCAATACGGCCAGCAATAGATTTTTTGTTGTGCGCGCACTACTTTTTGCCGATTTTACCCCCCTTATACTACTCCCCAGGTACATAATATTGATACTGTCGTGTCCGTTAAAGTGTCCTCTATCTGTTGGCATCATCGGTAATATGCATCGCGGACGTATTTTGCCGCAATACGGCCAGCAATAGATTTTTTGTAGCGCGCGCACTACTTTTTGCCGATTTTACCCCCCTTATACTACTCCCCAGGTACATAATGTTGATACTGTCGTGTCCGTTAAAGTGTCCTCTATCTGTTGGCATCATCGGTAATATGCATCGCGGACGTATTTTGCCGCAATACGGCCAGCAATAGATTTTTTGTAGTGCGCGCACTACTTTTTGCCGATTTTACCCCCCTTATACTACTCCCCAGGTACATAATGTTGATACTGTCGTGTCCGTTAAAGTGTCCTCTATCTGTTGGCATCATCGGTAATATGCATCGCGGACGTATTTTGCCGCAATACGGCCAGCAATAGATTTTTTGTAGCGCGCGCACTACTTTTTGCCGAATTACCCCCCTTATACTACTCCCCAGGTACATAATGTTGATACTGTCGTGTCCGTTAAAGTGTCCTCTATCTGTTGGCATCATCGGTAATATGCATCGCGGACGTATTTTGCCGCAAAACGGCCAGCAATAGATTTTTTGTGGCGCGCGCACTACTTATTGCCAAGTTATTGCCAGGTTCACACAAGTACAAAATACCGTACCGGTACTGAGTTACGGCTAGGTTGAGGGCCTACCTAAAGTTAAGGCTAGGTGGTAGATCAAAACAGTTTGACACACTATCGATTTTTCCCTGATCAGGACCCCAAACGGAGCAGGGAGAAGGGAGGTCAAATGGAACAGGTTCAAGGGTCCATACAGTGATCCAGACATCAGGCCAAGCAGGGAGAAGAGCGCTTTAGAGGCGTTTTTTTTTTTTTTTTTTTCTTTTTTTTCCGAAAGATCAAAGAAAAGATTAGTTGCATGTACGGAGTGATGTATGGTAGTGTGTCACGGTTTTGCCCCGTACGCTGTCGCAAGTGCCGCAGCAAACGACCGCCAACGCTAGCATTGATAGTTCTCATTCCTAATATGGCAACTACCCTCTTTAACTTAATTGGTAAAATAAAAAGATTTTGGGTAATATTTTGTTGTTATATATTATAGGCATTTGTGTTGTAAGTACTAGGCTAACTTAATTTTGTGGTTTGTATGATCAAGGTTGAAAATGTTTTTTTACAAGTTGAAGCCATTAAACCAATTTTTTATTTAGTGTGACCATAGCAATGGGTAAATAATAAAAAGGGTCATACATTAAAATATCTAAAAAAATAATTTTTAAATAAAAAATAAAAATATGAAATTGAAAGTAGCCTACTTAAATATTCTTTCAAAATTAATGTAAACATTAATATTGTTAAAGGCAATTAAAAAAAATATCATAGGCTAGCTGTAACATATTATTTAATGAATAGGGCCTAGGCCTAAAACTAATCAATTCATATTACTGAGCACTCTTTTTAGAACACCTCCTCTCACGTTCTTACACAAACACGCTCTCGACATCTCTCTCTACTCCCTTAGGCCTATTATACTGGGCTCGGTAGAATTCGTGTGGCCTTGGTCTTGATTGAAAAAATGTTCGGGTTGAAATTTTGCTGATATTTACCTCCCTTCTGTCTGCTCAGTTCGGGGTCTTGATTGGGGAAAAGATCGATAGTGTGTCACTGCCATTAAACTTAAAATTAAAGTATAGGTAGCCTACTGTTGTAAGTTAAACATAATCATGATATAGGTACCGGTATAGGCCTATTTGTTTTGAGTGAACCTATAAAAAGAGAATGGAGAGCCTTCCTGAAAATGAGATGAAGAAAAAATGTTACTGGCATGGCTTCCGCACTTCCGCATAACTTACACTGACGTAGGCCTGATTTCAGTTTTTGTTTTCTTTCAGCTACTGAGGCCCATGATGATGACGGTTTGCCCCATACTCTGGAACATTTGGTTTTTCTGGGGAGTGAACAGTACCCATACAAAGGCGTTCTGGATCTCTTGGCCAATAGATGTCTGGCTTCTGGGACTAATGCATGGACAGGTAAATAACTAGTAGACTATAACTTAGTTCCATTTATGCCTGTTATTTCATTCAGGCTATAACTTCACCACCCAACTGGTAGCGTGATTATAGTCAGGCTAGTTGGTTTCTGTAGTGGCAGCGACTATACGAGTTGTGTTTTGTGAGGTTTGTGGTTAACTCACGTCAGGTTAAAAACCTTTTTTTTGTTGTAAATTAAATCAAACCAAGCATAGGCTATAGACTGTCCTTCTTGTAGAAACTCACCCGTTCTCTAAGTTATTCTGTTTCTTTTTGAACTGTCAATATTTTTGCAAAACGATTTAATCTTTACAATGTTCTTTCTTATGTCGTGTATTGTGGCATGTCCAAGATCAATTTATTCATTAGTCTAGGCTAAGGTTAGACATCTTTAACCCTTTGAGTGCCAACGTCCGGGGAACCGGACGTTTTTAAAACGAGCCAAAAGTGCCGACGTCCGGCCGACCGGACGTTTTTAGAACGAGCCAAAAGTGCCAACGTCCGGCTGACCGGACGTTTCGTAATGATCGAACAGTTGTCATAACAACCGAATGGATACTCGGATTCTTTTAACCCATATATTAACATTGAGTCGAAAGTTACTAGATGCGATACATCGATTTTCGTTGGTCGAAATATCGAAAATTCGATTTTTACGAAATTTTAACCTAAAAATCGCCAGATCGCGCTCGGCATTTTTAGCGCGACCTTCGGGAAAAATCATCGGCATTTTTTGAGCATTACTTTTATTTCTCGCCTGGCACTCTAAGGGTTAATATCACTTTTCAAGTACCTACCTATTTTTAAAATATTGTTTTCTTTTATTTACAAGTGTCAATGATTTACTTGCAGTGAGCCTATGTCTTTGTTGTACACTGTGACATTTTCAATTATCCTACTTATTTTACAATGTGAAGTTAGAAGATGTAGCACAGCACACTAAATAAAAACCAAACTGGTCACCGAAAACGTTCAGGGCAGACGACACTCGACTACCAGCACTAATTTAAAAAACATTCACGTCACACAACTACTACTGAGTACTAACCGATCTAGCCTCAGTACTGTAACATGTCTCAATCCCTCCACACTGCTTTGCGGGCTGGACTAGCTCAGTGCCAGATTAGAGAGGTTCTACTGTAGCCTACCTTGTTTTAGGTAGAACAGGCCTGTTCTATTCTGTGATTAAAAGTTATCAATAGGTTTATATAGGTTAGTAACTACATGGCCTGAGAAAAGTTAGACCTACCACATGTCAGTTATGGCAAAATAACATGGCCGACTCAAGGTTCCTTTTCCAGCACTACGTAAACAAACATTAAGCTAACTCAAAATAAACTCTCCTGAATTCTACTAGATACTAAGGATCTAGGACAACATTCTTGTGAAAGCAGGACTCTTTCTGTAAATTTGTATTTAGTTGACAAGAGATACCTATTCTAAGTGTCATTAATTTTATCTTGTGGTCAACTGGTATAACTTCAAATAAATACAATAGTTAATCTGCTTATTGCTTGGTATAATAAAACCGACTAAACCCCCCATAAAAGAAGAGGACCTACATTGATTGGTAAATATATTGGTAAGCTTAAAAAAGAGTCACTCAATGTGTGTCTGTGTATGTTATAGATACAGACCACACTTGCTACACGATGACAACAGCTGGCAGTGAGGGGTTCCTTTCACTCATCCCCATCTACTTGGACCATATTCTGTACCCCACTCTTACGGTGAGTGTCTTGTATCCAGCTTTATGAGCTTTCTAAGGTACCTAAACTTGCATATTGCGCGATCATGCGCTTTCATGTGTAGTATGTGTACTAGAAATATAGTTGTGACAAGCAAGAAAGAGCCGGAGCGACAAAATCCTTTCTAAAGGGAACTTTCCATATATATAATGTTAAAAATACCTCAGCTGTACTTATTTGTTTGTTATTCTTTCAATTTATTACCTTATTCAAATCAGGTGTGATTATTTGTTTGTATTACCGTATTCTGTTTTATTTATTTCAGCTTAACTTAACCAAGCAATAGTTTTGTTAATACAGTACCTACTTATGAAGTCATACGGGGTGAAGCCCATGGGTAACAGCTAGTTTAGTTATTATTAAAAACTTTAATTCTGTAATTTAACAACTTTAGCTGAATCACAGGATAATTCCCAGAACTCAATCCCATAGTTTATAATTATTGAAAAAAAGCATAGTGTAAATATTAATTCTAGATTTAAGGTCAATATTATTACAAAGTACTAGCATTTTGATAACAGGCTGAATTTAGTTTACTAATAATATTAGGTATCATTACAGTTACTCCAAGAAAAATTAATATCCAGTTCCAAACGAAAGAATTTTGCATGGTTGCTAAGGGGTATCAACTGACCCAGAAAGATGATTTCTTAATTTTAACCTTCTTTAGACTGTGCAGTACGAAAATTTAATGCTTGAGTTTTATCTTGATTAAGTTTTAGTCCATTAGCTTCAAACCAGTATTATAATGTCCTGATAACTCCGCTCAATTTTGTGGAAGCGTCTGCGTACGCCACCTAGTTTTATTTAATGATTATAGCTTGCAGGCAGTACTTACTGTACCAAAGTTACATTAATTACCTTCTATTTGCTCCCAGTGTAACTTCTGTGTTGCTCCTGATAGGGCAAAGTATGTTTTAGTATGTAGCAAATCACACATTGAGCCCTTTGACCTCTTTATTCAGCTCAATGACCCTGTGTCACTCTATGATGACATTTTTGACCTCTTTATATGTTACTTTGACCCTATGATTAATCTCTAGCATTGTAGCAACATTTGAAAATATCCTAATTTTTTTTTCTTTAATAAGCCTTGGTTTTTTATTTCTTCTATAATATTGTTGTACCTAGTTTGTTTAAACATTTAACACATTATTTCTAAACTTAAAAATAATATTGCTGTAAACTTAATTACCTAAAAGTAGGCTAGATTATGCTCAGAATTTATTCACTGAGATTATTTTTTACGCCAATTTATTTACCCAGCAAGTGTTGAATGTTTTCCTCATACAACAAAGAACATTAAGGCTGCGCTCTTCCCTGTCTGGTGCGTGCAAATGCAAGGGTTTTGGTTCTCTTACTGTTTGTAGCCCCAATTTTGAACCGATTTAAAAGATCTTGGTGTCATATTTTTCGATAAATATTATTATAAGTCCGGCGCTTTTTTAAAATTTGAATATTTTTTTTATGTTGGGCTAAAAGGTTGGTAAAAATGTTAAAATACATGCTTTTTATCATAAATTTTAACACATCCAAATAATTTTTAAAGAAAAAATAACAAACGGGGGTAGTGCAATAGATTCTTGAAAACAAGAATCTGCAGTTAGTTTACTAAAAGGTTTAAGGATAACGATGTAATCACACAGAATCAAAAGGCTTGCAAGCGCTCATCATGACGCTGTTCAATGCAATGGTCTAGGAACAAGGCGTTAAGCAACATCGTCCGAGCTGAGGTAGAGCGCACCCTTAATTTAAAAATAAAAATATTTATTTCAGCAATATTTACTAAACTTTTCTTTATGTTTTTAACAACTATGCTCAGCCTAAAGGCAGAAAAAGGCAAAGCTTATAATACTTATATTATTGACTTAGTGTTTTTTTTTTCTAAAATAAAGTAATCTTCTGCATAAAATTTTGCCTCAGGCTCAAGACAAAATTGATAACCTATTTACGTCCAACTATTTCTTTAAAATGAACTTGGGCCTATAGTCCGTTTTTAGCGAATTTCCCATATATAGGGAATAAACTATTACCATAGTACTCATGGTAAGACCTGGACCTGGGACCGATTTTCTTTTTCGTTTTGAGGTCCCTAGAGGCCAAAAACACTATCCATTCAAATTCATATATATATATATATATATATTTATATATATGTCTGTTAGCTCGAGCAAAAACTATCCGATTTTGATTAAATTTTGTATAAACGTGTAAACCTGTGACGCAAAATTCTAGGGGGGGAATAAACTAGTTTTCACCAAAGTCAGGCTAGGCCTACCCCTAGAACTGGCCACAATCAAATTTCTTCCCCGGAGTGCTCAGAAGGAGCCGAGAAAAATCCAGGGGTTGATACGAAGTTCTCACGACTTTGACTGACCAATTTATTAAAATTTAATCGAAGGCTCAGAGCTCTAGAAGTGCTCAGGAAATCCTGCAGACGCCCAGTAGGAGCTATATCATCCCAGCCTTCGTTAACGTGTTGTGGAGAATTTTGCCTAACTTTTAGAATGACTCTGTAGGGCCGACGAGTATTCACTCTTAAGCCAATGTGATTTAAATACTCGTAATAAACTGTAAACTATCTGGCTAAAGACGTTGTTAGATAATAAAATCGAATATAATGTAAAAAGCAATTCCTACAGAGTCGTGGGGGCCTAATTAATATAAATGAATGGAGAATTTATCGTGGGATGATTTAAAATAGATTTGATACTAATATTCGTAAAAAAAAAACCCCGCCAAAGACGAGGTTTAGAACTCGATCGATAAGTCTCGGGGTATTAAAACGGTGAAAAACGAGAAATAATTTTTAGATGTGGTAATAATTCGTTAAGCGAACGGAGAAATCGTAATTTCGGAGCCAATTAATTTAAATCAAACCGAAAGATATCCACCGCTAGTCACTGACCGGCAGGAACTGGCGGGTCAAGACTCAATCGGCGAAAGCTTAGTTATTGAAATTTAGACAATTTAAAATCGGACTTGAACGGGTAAAATAAGTGGCAGACGAGTATGGGTATGTTAAAATAAAACGAAAATAAAATAAACGTTAGAAAGTCTAACAACAAACTTAGCTAACCTGAATGGATAACGTAGTGGTATGGCGTGATCGTAATTTGTGTTATAAGGGGCTTCTCGTGAACGAGTCGACGGTCGAACAGCGAATAATCTTGTCCGGCTCAAATCACGATTTCCTCGGCCGAGGCGTAAGCGCTCTGGTGGTGAGTTCAAGAACTAGCCAACAGCTGATAGGAAATTCCTGTTGAGCCGGTCTAGTTGTCGTCTGGCGTCCGTCAACAAACACCATTTTGAGGTTATGTCATGTTGTCATCGGCGTTAAATCTTCGTAAAATCGGTCGGTTAACTTTATTTTGTGAAATGGTGTGCTATTGTATATTTTAGATTTTAGATTTAGATTTGTTGTCATGAGAGCCGAAGCCCCCTGACTGCTTACCCGGTACCTATCCTTCAGGACATACCCGGGCCCCATGATGTAGGCCGAAGCTTACGCATCAACCTTTAGCACATCATGGGCGGATGACTTAAGGTCATCAGGCTCGCCGGCTGCCGAAGCAGACCCTTCGGAAAGAGGGTTGCCCCTCAATCCTAACCAGGGATTCCGGCTGCTTGTTTAAGCGTCACTCCACCTGGGTTCCACTAGGTCGGAACCTAGAGGTCCATAGTAGAGCGCCCCGACGCATTTAGTGCAAGCAACACTCGGGACCTATCTCATCCCTGACAGGCAGAACCCGCCATCAATAGCCAGGAGGAAGGGGACCATCAGCACGCTGACGGGGGGAACCCCAATCTCCCATTTACACCGCTGCCCGATCGAGGCCTGACCCATTGCTGGGAACCAGAGATATCCAGAGCGATAGATCCCCAGATACCCCTGGCGGGCTCGGACCCAGCACCCGATCTACTTCGTTTGCCCGTCAGACCCAACATCACTGCCAGGCCATCAGGGTTTCCCAAAAGGAGGCAGGTATAGAAGTGGGACCCACCCGGATGAACCTATCCACCAGAGGTGGCGACACCCTTGACTCAATTGAGGTTCCGGGAAGAACCCCCCACACTCAAGATAACCATACCGTCCGTGCTCAGAGACAGGGATAGGTTTGCATAAGTACCTACAAACCGTTGCCCTCACACTGCAGAAAGTTACGTTGCCCTTGAGTGTCCCCGTGAGCTGCGGGTACTTGCCCGTTTTCACCTCCAGGAAAGGTTACTTCCAAAGTCGAGGATTTGCCCACTGAATGCTGGTCGCACACCACAAGCAGGCCGAAGCCCAAAGTACCACAGACACAGGTAGGTTAGAGATTATGATGTACTTCCATCTCTCCTAGAGCTAAACACCCCTCCATCCTGGATAAAGGAATGTCACTGGGACCCGATGCCCAGTCGACCATATCTGTGGCCAACTTGAAAATGCCGATACCAACACGGAGCATTTACCTCCCCTCTGGGGGCTAGGTATTTCACCTCCCAGGACGAGGCTACTTCCAAAGTCGAGGATATGCCTCACAAAATGTCAGTCGAACACAACAGGTAGGACTCAGTCACAACCACAGTTACAGGTAGTTGAGGAGAGGCGGAATTAACGGCGTCACTGAGAGCTAAACACCCCCCCCACCCTGAATGGAGGGAATGTCACTGGAGGCTCCCCCTAAGGGGCTGGCGCTTACCAGTCGTCCATAACTGTGGTCTACCTGAAGTGCCGGGTCTGACACCGGGCAGTTACCTCCCCTCTGGGAGAGCTAGGGTCCGCGTGGTCGCCCAGGCCACGAACCCACGCAAGCGTGAGCCCCCTGCGGTACGGCTATTGTATATAAGGGAATGCAGTTGTGGGCGTGTTTGTGTACTTCACTGTGATTAAAAATAGGCCTACGTTCTTTGGCTCATAGCCGAAGCTAGGGCCAACACATAGGCCTAGGAGTAGGTTATCGTGGATGGAAACTAGTTATGGTGTTTGTTGATTAGCAGTACGTTTTTACCCCCCTTAAAATTTGGTACCTCACAAACCTATGCTTATTCTAACGAGTTCGGGAACCAGAATGATTGGACTATGGAAACGGATTTAAAGAGGGTGTTATGGGGTAAAAATTGGTTTTTCCCATTTTAAGCCGAAAAAAATTTTGCAATTACTTCCAAAAAATTGTGTAGAGCTAAAAAAAACAAAAGAAATTTTGTATATTGAAGCGTTATTGTGCACCTAATGGTTACAGAGAAAATTCTAACAATTTAAAATTTAAAATGCCCAAGGAGAAAAAGTAAATTGTTGTAGTTTGCTTGTTTATGAACATATGTTGATCAAATTTGGAAAATCCATTTTAAACAATTAACATTTAACAAAAAAAACTTACCCTCGCTGTTGCAGCAAACCTAAGTACTTGTTAAACTAATTCTTTTTAAATAGGGAATAAATGTGATATTTTTAAGGAGACATTTTAGTGTAAATCTAATCTGGCAAATGGAAATTCGCTTAGTTCGCAGGTTTCAGTTTGCTGCGGTATTTTTTAAATAGTATATTTAGGCTATCATTAATAACTAAAAAATATGTCGTGACTTGGGGTAAATCTTTTTTTCTGAGTAACCCTGAAAAGGAATTATTTAATAAGTTCACAAAATGTTCCAATGTTGAAACAGTGATTAGGGACAAAAGTTTTCTTCTGCTGCATATTGTTGACAGTTAAAACTTGTAAATTATAGTTTCCCAAAAGTTACAACTTCTTTTTGCTTCTGCGTGAAGCGGCTTACAGACAGGGAAAGTAGGGACTGCAAGTTTATAGCTACAAGTACTTGAATGCCAGTCTTCCATGCTTAGGCTACCCCTAGGGATGGTACCCCTATAGACAAGGTAAGTACGGTATGCAGTTTTTGTAACTGGCAAATACTTGCAACCTACAACTTGCTGTCCCCGCTTTTTCTTAAGCTGCTTGAGATGCTAAATCAAATCTTACTGTTTTTATTTTACAATTAAATTATCTCAAATATTGTAACTATGACCAATCAATTACATATTTAATTTGTAATGTTTTCTCTGTAGGACTCAGCGTTTGTGACGGAGGTACACCATGTGACGGGGGAGGGAGAGGATGCTGGGGTGGTGTATTGTGAGATGCAAGGGAGGGAGAACACAGGAGAGTCTAGGGTGTACCTGCAGCTGCTGAGGACCATCTACCCGGGACACTGCGGCTACAAGAGTGAGACCGGCGGCATCATGAGGAACCTGCGCGAGACTGTCAACAATGACAAGGTAATGTGAGTTCAGGGTATCGCCAACTGAGCTGTGTAAAGACTGTGAATGGAATGTGAATTTTGTATGGGACCAGGAAATATAGAATAGTTCAAGAGTCATGAAAATAGTGACCGCAGGAGATTCTCGGAGGTGTTGCAGGGGACGATTATAATATCAGTGTGTTTGGGGAGATGCAGGGAGGAGTTGGTGTAAACCAACCAATCAGATTGTCACTATCACTTGTAAAGAAAAACAAAAGGTTCCCTCTACTTTTATATATTTAAATATTATACTTAAATATATTTACTCCTTGCAATGCTCTTAAAAAGAATTCTTTACAAATTTTGGTTGTCCCTAGGTTGGAAGAACTTGGAAGGCAATAATAATATAGAACAGAGCTTTGGCAGTGGAAGCTTGGTGTTAAAGAAATATTTAAGTGGGCCCTGTAAAATAAAAAATTATCGCCAGAAGTCCTTATGGGACGTCCTTGGTACTGTTTGAAGTTCTTCCAGACTGAAATACCTTTAATATAATGATCAATAACCAATCTTAATCTACACTGAATTTAATCTGCTCACTACTACACTAGTATTTAGTGTTGCACTTTAAAGGTGAATCTTTTGTAGTGGCCTGTGACTTACTGAATTTTACTATTATTGCACTAGATAACCAATATTGCTAATAATGAACTACCAAGGTTATTGAGAACTAAAAGTTCAATAACAATTTGATTTATTGTACAGTGTTGACGAGTACTACAATTGATTGTACCTAATAATCGATTGGCATGTTTATATACAATAATGAATGACCTCGAGTGCTACAGTCAATTTGAAGTTTTTGTTTAAGAATGTGAAATGGATCTATCAAAAGGGAAGATACGGCGCGGTTACACACTGATCGCGAATGTGTCAACGGAAGAGTGATATTTGATTTAATTGTTTGAGATTACCAGTACCAAGCAAATCCTGTTCGTTGGCCAACGATTCAAAAACGAAGGTCGAGTCTCGCAGTCCAACAGTAAATATTGTGCTTGATCGTATTAATATGTATTGGAATTTTGCTTATTATTTTATGGCTAATTTGGTACTTTGGCGGTTCATCTATTTTATAAACTGTCACAACCTCCGACAACACCTCCGTATCAAGTCGAACCAGCTACCTGCTCCCACCTTTGATATTACTTTAATTTCCCCCAAATAAAATACTGACTGTGGCACTCTTAAATGTATTACTCTTTAATATTCAATAATGAACTTCAATAACGACTTTGCAATAAATACCAATGCTATAAAAATCTTATAAAGTAACTCTGAATTACCCTACAAAAACATTTTCATCTATTTTATTTTTAACCGACTTCCCCACTACCAACAAAAGGAGGAGGTTCTCAATTTGTTTGTGGCGATGTTTTTTTTTTTTTTCTATGTATGTTCACCAATTTCTCTGTGATTCTTTTACCGATCAGTGTGGTTCCACCACCAAAATAACCAGGAGAGTTTCTATTTGGTACCTTATATATTATGTTTCAGTATAATATTTGTTTCGGTGAAAAATTCTGAAAACCTTAAATATTCAACATTTATATTGTTTACATTTGTGCAGATTGTTTACATTTGTGCAGAGAAGGCAATAAATCATAATAACATTCCTACAGCTGTTAGTTGAAACCATTTAAATGAAGCTACAGACAATTTTTCATGAAACAGTTGCTTCATATTGATCAATAAACTATTTCTTGCCATGGAGCCTAAATGAATTACATTGAGAAAAATGCATTTTGTTTTGGTTACTATAAAAAATGTATTTTAACGTTTTACCTGATTTGTGTATACAGTAATTCTGTTTTTAGTATTGAATATTCTGACTTACAAAAACATATATGTTTCAGTGAATAGCTGTATGATATTGTTGACAAATAAAGGTGTATTGTGAAAACCAAAGCATTCGTAAAACAGGTCTAAATATAAATCAAAATGCAATTATTCCTTACACGACCTAAGAAGTGTGACAGTGCATAATTGTCAATTGTCTTAAAAGTGTTAAATATTTTAATTACTAAACATGCATTTTAGGGGTGTGCGAGTATTCGAACATCGAGCTTTTTCGAGCCGAATAGCGTCCTATTCGGCTCGGCTCGTGATTTTCAAAAAGTTCGAAATGTTCGAGCCGAATACTTATTGAAGTAGCAAATAAAAATTAAATTAATAAATAAGGAACTAACTTTCATTTAAATTTACTCTCCGTTTCATAATTCTGTCTTGATAAGCAAGAACCTCAGCTCAGTCAAGACGCAATGATTATCGATCGTAATTTTGAGGAAACTACCACCTATCGCGTTGTCTTTCCAACACAACTATTCGTATCGTAATATACAACGCAGTGCGAGTGCGTGATTGGCTAAGTCGCTATGACGACACACGGTTGCCACGGCAACCTACATTGCGCACTGAGCACTGCGCCTTGTGTGGGAGGGGAGATTATACCAACAAACTATTTCAGGAATTCTATTTTGGGACGGATGAAAGATAAGGAAGAAACAAAGGTGGTCACGTGTGCAAATGTAGTGGGCGACACAATAAGGCTGTAAACGTAAACGAGTATCGTCGTGTCGTTGTTCCTTGTTTGTTTACTTTTTAAGATTCATAATCAAACGCCCCTATCTGCTATCTCTCTTTCTCTCTCTCTCTAACAATGTACTGATTAAACAAGATTGTGGTTGACGACTTTTCTACTTATAAGTTTCCCTGCGGTTATTTTAGTTCAATCAATCCCATAACCTTTCTAATGTTTATCAAAATAATTAATTAATATGTTTTATATTTTATTTCCTTTAAACCAACCCCTATTTACCATCTGTATTTTATAGAATAAAATGTTTGTTTATAAAGTTTGACTGGCCACACAATTTTGTACCTATTTTATTTTGTATAAAAGTAACAGTTACTTTGAGGATTATATATATATCAATAAGTGGCGCGTGCTGTAATGAGTGCTTTTTATTTTCAAAATAAGTAATGAGTTATTAATTTTTGATAGTACGGGTCACCCTATCAGTGGCCAACCGTCGTCTGGTTACGGTATGACGTTGATGCTTAGAATGGCCAAAGTCGTCTGGTTACGGTATGGGCCGAAATTTTTTTAACGGTAAAAAAACACTTACAATCAACTCAGATTAGAATAATATATATACCATTCGAAAGATCACATTCTGAACTTTCATTTGATTACATAAACAAACCCTGTAGCAGGTATATAACAATGTCACGACGATTAGAAATCAAATGAAATTTTGGCGCGGTACGACTTTTGCAGCCGACACTTGGGAACTGGCAAAACACGTCTTGTTTGGCATTACCCTGCTCGGGTAATTTTCGTCTTGGGATGTTGCGGGTGATACCACTAGATAGCCGTTGATTTTATCTTCATTGTGGTAGTGATATTTATAACTAAATATTGATTGCACAATCGGTACGATTTTATGAAAACAGCTGTTTTCGAAATTTCTAACAAATGGCCAACAGTCGTCTGGTGACAGTATGGAAAATACGAATTATTTACAGTGAAAGTTATTATTACTAGTCATATAGTATATCATTTTGAAGAGGAAGAAATTTAGATTCAGAGAGTGGCAGCCCTGCACTCAGGGTTATTTCTGTATGCTCGCATGTAGACAGTGATGTAGACGACGGAAGTGAGTCATTACTGCCACAGTCTGTCAGCTGTCTTGTATTGCCATTGTTTGTTTGTGTTGTTGCCGTAATAGTTTTATCCGCGATTTATTACTAAATGTTATTAGTTCGTAGTGTTAGTGTAAGTGAAGTGTTGTGTGTGTGTATAACAGTTATCTTCATGCATAAATATTACTGAATTTTGTGGAATAGTGTTCATAAAAGGTTGTATTTTGTTAGCATCATGTCCTAAAATGACGATTCTGACATTCAGAGATTGTTGTACCTATATAATGATATACCCAAGGTGTTATACATTTTTATAAAGGTAAATGAATACACTACAACATGTTTATAATGGTTCGGGGGTAAACAATTTTGTAAAAAAGTTATAGCCTATACTAAATAGGCCTACTACTGTAGGCTATTTTGTTAGCATCATGTCCAAAAATGACGATTCTGACATTCAGAGGGGTTATAATGATTTACCCAAGGTGTTATACATTTTTATAAAGGTAAATGAATACACTACAACATGTTTATATTGGTTTGGGTGTAAAAAATTTGGTAAAAAATTATATAGGCTACTAAATACTGTACACTCCATTTTCTCGAAATGCGCAAAAAATTCAAAACGTTCTCAAATTGATAGGCCTACATAATCATAGGTGAAAATAACTTTTTACCATCATACTTATGACTTTTTTGGATTCCTTACTTCATTGGCTTTACAAATATGTAGGCTACATATCATCAGCCTACATAATGTTTCACAACACAAGCAAACACTGTAGGCTATAGTTTACACTTATTTGCGGTTTTGCGGTTATTGTATTATTATGTCCCTATTACGTACCTACAAAAAAAATATTTCTAACATGTTATACATTTTTATGTTGGTAATTGAATACATTACAAGATTATTATGTTGGTTTGAAGTAAAAAAATTTGGTACAAAAGTTGTATACTAAGTACTGTGAATTTTGTTTTTCGAGAAATCGCTAAAATATATAAACATTATTTTATATACGTATGTTTATAGGTAAAAAATTATTTTTACCATAAACTTTATGACTCTTTTTGATTCCTTACTTCATTAGCTTTACAAACATGTATATATCATTATTAGTATACACATGTATTATAGAACTTTTTACAACATAAACTAACACTGTACGGTTCTCAATTTTTTCGGTTCTCTGTTTGTCATTATATTTCGCCCCAAAAACTTATAAAAAAAAATATTTTCCTAACATGTTATATATTTCTATGTAGGGAATTAGATTTTCTACAAAATGTATATAATGAATTTCCCATAAAGAAATCCGTAGAAAAAAAATACCAAAG